TGAGCAAGAGTCGACCAAAACATTACCCTCGAAAATTAGTCAAGAATGGTCAAAGTTGACTAAGTTGACCAACTGTCTGAAAAACGGGGATAAAACGCGCATTGGACAGGAAATTAAGTTGAACCAAAATAGGATAATTATTAAATAATCAATGGTTGAGATTTAAAGCAACTTTTTAAATGAAGGGTTGAGATCATGCCACTTGCTTAGTGAGGTGGCCGGCCAAGCTTGTACAAGAAGCCAAGAAATGAGATATTTTGGTCAAATTTTACAAAAAGGTTCCTCAAAAGTGCCAAAATTACATTTTAGTCCTTCTACTTTAATTAAGTCCGGTTTTTAAGAGGTAAAAATATCCCCAAATGTTCATTCTTCATGTCAAGAACCGTGAGAGTCCAGCCAAGAGAGAGAAGAAGAAAAAAAAATTACCGAAAGTGAAGAAAAACAAGTTCTAAGCGGGAATCGATCGAACTATCGATGATTGGTGATTCCGGAGTTTGTTCTTCATTCTTCTAAGGTGAGATTTCAGTTTTCCTCTCATTTTTCTTACCTTGGCCGAATCATTTGGATGTGGTAGAGAGTATGGAGAAACTTTGCTAAGTTGATGATTTAATTTCAATTGATAAAGGAATTGAAAGCTTAGTGATTAAAGGTTGAATTTTGGTTGTTAGATTATGTTTCTAGCAACTTTTGAATATGAGAATCCTTGTGAGAAATTAGATGGAACCCTAGAGTATGGTTTCTAAAGCGATTAAATTGTGTGAGAAAGATTGTTAGCTATGTTTAGAAGATAAAGTAACGGATAAAATGAGCTAAAGTTAGCTCGGGAAATATAGAAAAATAAAGTGAAACTCCACCGAAATTTAGTTTGAGAGTTTCAAGTTAAACCTAGTTTTAGTTCTAGAATTTGAAGCTAAACTTGGTTTTAGTTCTAAATAGAAGTTTTAAACTATTTTCTTAAAAAACACTGCATAACTGTCAAAACAGTTTTGGTGTTAAACGGAAGAGTTCATTAAGAACTTGAAGTATAATCTCAAGAAAATATTTTTGAGTTTGAAACTTGTTTAATGAAAAGTAAGGTTATGGGGAATTGATAAACCTAATCTTTAAATTAGAAACAAGGTTTCATAATCCTTTAAGGTAGAAAAGAGAAAGAAAGCCATAAATAGAGAAGTTAGACTTTCTTACAAGCTTGCTAAAATAGAATAACAAGAGACATCAGTCTCACACTCTTAATGGGTGTTCTTTCTCAGAAATAAGAAAGGAAGAAAATAGGCACTTTGGCGAATAGAAGATTTCACTTCCTAAGAACAGGTAAGTAAGAATCTCGCCTACAGTATAAATAGATTTTAAAATAAACGGTTCACATGAATTATATATGTTTGAGTACATTTAAAGATATGTATGTTATGCTATGTCATATTGCATACACTTAAGTTTGAGGACATTCCATGTTACAGTATGTTATGCTATGTCATATTTCATACACCTTAATAAGTCAAGAAGAACATATAAGAAGAAACTCAGTTAAGTGCCGTACCAGCCTCTGAGAGGGAGGTAACTCAGGCTCCGCAAGGGAGAAAAAAAAATAATGTCCTCTGAGAGGGAGGCATTCAGTTCATTTTATAATCGCAGTGTCGTTGGGGACCTTACAAACCCTCACGTCCTGATGATTGCGCGCCAGTGGTACGAGCACTCGGGCCCATCAGTAAGTAAGATAAGTTCAGATAGTAAAACTATGATAAAACATCATAAGTCAGCATAATCAGTTCATGCATATATAGTCATGTGAACTTACAGTTATTTTGCGAGTAATAGTTCATACTTGCTGAGCGAAAGCTTATTTCAAAGTATTTATACTGTAGGTAAGCAACCTACACATAATGCTTGGTGGACTGATGGCGAGGCAGCGGACAATCGGAGTGGAGGTCGGGGAATGGATACCGCACGCAGTTATTTCTACAATAGTTTAAAGTTTTAAAAGAAAAGATTTTGTTAAATATGTCTATGAGCTTGTGTTTTGGAAGCTTGTAGTAAAATTGTTAAGTTGTGTAAACTAACAGGATTTTGAGAAGCAAAATGTACCTATAGGTAAATTTATGCTTTAGAAAAGGAATTGGTTTTGAAGTATAAACCCTTTGCTATGTTCAAAAGTAGAAACTAGATATATGTCGTTACAGTAATTTAAACAGAATGATATTGCATTCTATATATAAAAAAGAATGAAATAGTTTTTAAGAGAAAGAACTTATGCCCAAAATGCTACAGCATTTGTATAACATTTTATTTAAGTTATAAAGAAAATGCTACATCATTCGTATAGCATTTTATTTAAGTTATAAAGAAAATGCTTCAGCATTCGTATAACATTTTATTTAAGTTATAAAAAGAATACCATAACATTCTTACAATATTTTTTAAAAAATGCTACAGCATTATTCCTATAACATTTTAAAAAGAATGCTACAACATTTAATAACATTTAAAAAAAATCTCTTAGATTTTGGAAGTTTCGGAAGTTATAGGTTAAAAGTTAGTAACAGTGACGACCAAATCAGCAGGGTCGTCACATAAGTGATGGCTGGAAAAAAAGAGGGGGAGAGAGAGAAAAAAAAAAAGAAAACTCTAGTCAGAAATTTTATTTCACCGATTCGAGTTTAGAATTTGAGTTTTGCTACAGTGAAAAGCTCTCAAAATTAGTCCCATATAACTTTTTTACTACAGTAAAAAACTCTCACATAAAGTCACATTTCAACTCGAATTAAAAACTCAAATCAGTGAACTAAACGGACCCTTAGTTTTTTTAGTCTTAAACTTATTTTACCACATGACAGAAAAACTTAATGTTTAAGGAGCCCTAACAAAAATCAATCCACACCTAAAAGTCATGGCAAATTCCCTAAATTTTTCTTAAAGTTATGTTTTGTTAGCAAGTAGACTCTCTTCCATCCAATTTCTTTGTTACCAACATATAGTTCACAAGGCTTTCAAGAGAAGACAACATCATGACCTCTAAATTTACTCAATTAAGTAATATTGTCCAGATAATTGCTAGTTGAGAAGGAATTGGTGAGCACTTAAATATTAAGTGGACCTTACCCAATTGTTACTGTGACCAACTTGTAATTAGGGGTGAAAATACATAAATTATCTTCACTTTTTTTTTTTTATAGAGCATGAAAATTTTCTTAAGAACAATATTTTTATATTAAATGTCAAAGTATAGGTGATTAGCGTTGTTAGTCCTTGAATTTTAAGTATTGTGACATTTAGCTCTTGAACTCTCAATTTTGACAATTGCTTTTTAAACTCTTGTTGTTGTTGTTTTTGTTTTTGTTTTTTTGTAATTTTAATTTGACATTAAAAGTAATAAATAATTTTTAAAAGTTAACGTGGATAGTCACATCTATATAGCACAATAAGTGAAAATGTTACATAAATAGTTAAAGCAAGTGTGAATTGTTCTACTATTCAATAGGTTTACTCAATAGTGAAGATGACATTATAAATGTAACTATCTAAAAAAATTTCAAGTTATCACAGGATGGACGGATATCATTTATGTAAAATTTTTAAAAATTCTTCGTCAATTTTCATGTCAACAACTTAATTTGTCAAAAAAAAAAAAAAAAAACAAAGCAAAAAATCTGAAAAGTAATTTGTCAAAATTAATAAGGATAAATTTTATAAATTTTTCTGAACTTTCTTATTTATGTCAATATGTGCCCTTTAAACTTTTAAATGTACATTTTTTGCCCCTTGAATTATGAAACATTTCCATGTCCCCCCCTAAACTTTCAACTTTTGCCTCTTGAACTTTGAAACATAAGTCTCATTTCGTCAATGTTTTGGACAGAAGTGCTTATGTGTGTATTAATTTTCTGGTTAGGTATTTTATGTTGGGCTTATTCTGTACCCTTCTCTCCAAATATAAAAGCAGGTGCCAATTACACCTTGTATTTACTGGTTAGAGATGGTCGAAGGCAATAAAGAGGAGGAAAAAGATGGAGCAAAAATTTGGTGAAAGAAATGTCAATTAAAGGAAGCAACAGCAACAGGGAAGACTGAAACACTTTTCACATGGAGACTCAAGTTGATTCGAAATGTCCTGTAAGGTGTAAATGTGGTCTTGAATCTGTGATACGGACGGCCAAAACTGATCAAAATAGAATGAGACAGTTCTTTGGATGCTGCCTATACAAGGTAATTTTAGATATATATATATATATATATATATATTTGAAATAGGTTTTCTAGTTAATCGGTTTCTTAATGGAGAGGATGAGATTCGTTTTTTTTGGTCTTTTTATGAAGCTAGTGAAATATTTTTTGTTTTTTAAGCTGATGTGTATATTATTGCAGAGTAAAAAAGAACCTGGCTGTGGATTTGGTAGATGGGTTGACAATGCAGGCAGTTATCAAAAGGCCAAAGAGAGATTTGTAGGGAATGTTGCTGTTCTAGTAGATGAAGAAATTACTCAAATCAATATTGACGGAATGAGAATGAGGGGGCAAACATCTAGACGTTTCATAATTTAGGGGGCAAAAAAACGTTTCATAGATGGAGACTTTTCATAATTTAATGGGTAAAATTTAGAAGACATATTGACACAAATAATAAAATTAAAGAGACTTTATAAAATTTATTCAATTAATAATTCATTTTGTCTCGGCACTTGTATTTATCTTCGCGCTTCATCCGTCTTCACTGGTAAATCTAGTTAATGTTCAAGATCAAATTTTCTATGGCTCGTTTATTTACTGTATTTAAACCTATTATTTTAATTTTACTATAATATTTTTTTTCACAAAAAATTTAAAATTTAAAAATTAAAATAAAAAATTATTAATTTAAATGTATAAATTAAACGGACTGTTAATAATTAGTCGTGATTTGAGATTATTATTAAGTATGTAATTTATAAATTTTGGTATGAAATTTCTCCTAGAAAAATATATATAAAAAAAAGAACAAAACACGCGCACACGAATATGTGCTGGCGGTTAAACCGGGCGTTTCCTCTCGACTGCCATTTTCCATCTTCGGCTTTTTAGTCCTGAGGTTTGCCTTCCATGGCAAACCCTTACAGATCAAGGTACTTACAGCCCTAATTCTTACTATTTCTGAATTATACATCTCTTGGCCATCTCATTTTCTTTTGATTTGTTTGTTTAATGTTCTGCAGGGAAGGTCTCAGCGCAAGGCCGGTGGGTTCTTCTGATGAGGTTCAATTGAGGATTGATCCGTTACACGGTGATCTTGACGAAGAAATTTCTGGTCTCCATTCTCAAGTTAGACGCCTTAAAGCGGTACGTTTTGGATTCTTTTTGCTGTTTTCATTTCTTTTCTTTTGAAAAATTATTGGGGAAGTGGGAATTCTAGGGTTAAGTGCAATTCTTTTGGATTGGAAAGGGAAAATTTTGGATATTTTCTTGATGGGTTTTTATGGAATGATGTTACTAGTATTTTGTTGGAATGTATTGGGAGATATTAAGATTGGGAATTTAGCTGAACTATGATAAAAAGATGTGCTGTTCTATTAAGTTGAAAGGGTACTGTGTCTATGATAAATTAGCTACAACGGAAAGTTGTTCTTGTTCTATTTATCACATTCCATTACGCTGTAACACAAACCGCAATGCAAGGGAAGTAGTTTAAGCACATGATAGTATTATACGTTCACGAGTTACAAAATGCGAGATCTTACAAACTTGGTACCTGACTTTTGAAAAATCATTCTGTGGATTTTAAGCTTTCATAATCTCTTACTCCTTTAGTAATTTTATTCAAGCTGGTTATGTTCCTTTTGCCCCCAAAAAGTTGAGAATGCAAGCATGACAAGATAGGGCGACACAGACACATAAGCCATCCCTCGCAACATGGCCGTGACTGTTTTCATTGTTTTTTGACATTTCTGATTTCTCCATTCAAATTTCTACCACTTAAACACATGTTTAGAAAATTCTTCTCATAGTACCTCATCCAATGCATGAAGTTAAGGTAGAAACATAGATGAACATGTAGTAAGAATCAAATATTAGCATAATTATGGTTTTTTTTCAATGAACTCAGGCAGAGATGGGAAAATTTTATTCTTATTAATGAAACTTAACCGGCATAAAGTATGTAATGCAGGGCACTGGTTTGGAGTTTACTTATTATTAGCTGGCAGTGACTGGGGTTGTAAAAGGAAGGAGAAAGGTGGTGGGTGGATGCCTAAGAACATTCGTCTAGCGGCACCAGGGGGTTTTGCTGGTATGGGGCTTTTGGTCAAAGGTTGCAGGCTCGATCCCACTGCCTTGTAATAAGAAAAAGGTGGTGGGTGGATGAAATTATGTGCATGATCAGTGTAAGGAAATATAGTTGGGAAGGGGGATGCGGTTAGAGAAGATTCCACATTTCTGTGGGCTTCATTTCATCCTAATGGAAGGCCTATAAATTGGTAGGGGCAGTTTCTTCAATGAGTACTTTTGCAGAACAAATTTGCTAGGATTTAAGTTATTGGGTGAGAAAAGGTGAGCTCTTCTTAGAATAAAAATATAACTGATATGATCCGTGTTCATAATCTTTTTCCAAATTCAAGTTATGTAATGATTCTTTGTTTTATAGGGGTACTCTGCAGCCCACTATTAGTTGCCTGGCAAATGCGGTGCAAAGATTCTTTGTTGCCATGTAATTTCTTGTTTCTATTTCTTTCAATTGTTGAGACAAGTGTGAGGAATGGCTGAGGAAGCACAACTTTAGTGGTGTCATTGAAGAGAACATCTTAAAAAACACGGTCATATAAGAAACTATTTTTGAGTAATTTGTCAGAATTAATAGGCCAGGATTGGTGTGTGAAGATTTTCAAAGGTAGAAAGTGAAGAAGAAATCGGACATGAGAGGAAGAGCAAAAAACTGCTTTGAATATTTTCTTATTTCTTACTTTTCTCTGTACAGCAGCACCCTATATACAGGGTTAGGACTTAGACAACATTCCTCCCATAATCTCGACAATAAAAGGAAATAACTACTACGAAAGGAAAAACTAGAAAATCAAACAACTAAGAAATCAGCTTAGGAAATCAGGAAACTAGGACTAATTTCCCAAATCCATATTTATGGTATGTACAGGTTGGCAAATCAATTAGCCAACTATTCCCTAATTACCAAGAGCTAAAAATACACTAAGAAATTCTACACTCGCCCTCAAGCTGGGTGATAGATATCAATCATTCCCAGCTTGCATCTTAGCTCTTCAAATGTAGTTCGAGGTAATGCTTTGGTAAGGATATCTGCTGTTTGTTGACGGGTTGATGTATATAGGAGATCCACAATCTTCCCATCCACTTTTTCTTTGATGAAATGACGATTAATCTCCACGTGTTTGGTTCTGTCATGATGAATTGGATCTTTGACAATTCTTGTGGCAACTTGATTATCACAGTACATGTTGATGGCTTCAGTGGTTGTGAATCTTAATTCATTGAGTAGTCTTCTTAACCACATTCCTTTATAAATTCCATGAGCCATGGCTCTGAATTCAGCTTATGCACTGTTTCGAGCGACAACAGACTGTTTCTTATTTCGCCAAGTCACGAGATTTCCCCACATGAATGTACAGTACCCAGTGGTAGACCTATGATCCACTATAGAACCTGCCCGGTCAGCATCTGCAAAAACTTCAATCTTCCTGTTAGGATTTTTCTTGAAGTACAATCCTTTTCCTGGTGTCGTCTTGAGATACATGAGTATTCGATAGACAGCTTCCATGTGTTCTTCAGTGGGAATGTTCATGAATTGACTTACAACGCTCACTGAAAAACCAATATCTGGTCTAGTGTGGGATAAATAAATGAGTTTTCCCACTAGTCTCTGATATCGGCCTTTGTCCACCGGTGCACTATCTTCCTTGATCCCGAGCTTTACTGTGGAGTCCATGGGAGTCTCCGCCGGTTTACATCCCATCATCCTAGTTTCCTTGAGCAGATCAAGAACATACTTCCTTTGAGACACCAAAATGCCTTTCTTTGCCCTGGCTACTTCCATTCCTAGGAAATATTTGAGATTTCCTAGGTCTTTGATTTCAAGTTCCTTGGCTAGGAATTTCTTGAGTTTCTCCATTTCAACTGTGGAATTGCCTGACAGAATAATATCATCTACACACACAATTAGAATGACTATTTTACTAGTGGGGAACTGCTTGACAAAGAGAGTATGATTTGCTTGACATTGAGTGTACCCATTCTCCTTTAGAACTTTGGAAAACTTGTCGAACTAGGCACGAGCGGACTACTTCAACCCATATAGGGATTTCTTTAGTTTGCAGACTCTATTGGATGCAGTAGGAGATTCAATCCCAGGAGGAATGTCCATATAGGCTTCTTCTTTGAGATCACCGTTGAGAAATGCATTCTTGACATCTAATTGGTGGAGAGGCCAATCCAAGTTGGTTGCCAGAGACAGAAGAACACGAATTGTGTTGAGCTTCACAACAGGTGCAAAGGTTTCCTGATCGTCAATTCCATAAGTTTGAGTGAATCCCATGGTCACAAGTTGGGCTTTAAATCTTTCCACACTTCCATATGCTTTGTACTTGACTGTAAATATCCACTTTCACCCAACCGTCCGTTTTCTTGGTGGTAGTTCTGTGAGTTCCCATGTCCTGTTTTCCTCTAAAGCGTTGATTTCTTCAAGGATAGCTGCCTTCCATTCAGGTACTTGAATAGCTTAATGAACAGAGTTGGGTACCTGTATCTGATAAAGGTTGCTGATGAAAGCCTTATAACTCGGTGAGAGATGTTTGTAAGAAACAAAGTTGCAGATAGGGTGATTTGTGCAAGACCTTACACCCTTCCTCAAAGCAATTGGTAAATCCAAGTCATTAGAAGGCACGTTAGGAAGCAGTTTAGTAATAAGAGGTTCAGAGATATTTGGCGGCTCAGTAATGGGAGATTCAGAGGTGTTACCTTGATCATTGTTGAGGTGACCTGTACCCGGGTTGGACTCATGGACTGGCTCATGATATGCTCGGTTCTCCATTCCCTTTTGAGTTCTTCCCCTCCTAGAGTAAACACGAAGATCACTGTTTGGGACATGAGAATCATTTAGAGTACCAGTCTGAGTTTGTGTTTGAGACATTGATTCACACTCGAGAATTTGAGGAGGAATTACTGGAGATGGTGTTTGAGATGTTGACTGACTCTCGGGAATTTGAGGAGGAATTTGAGATTCGGATGAAGAGAATGATTGAGTGGGAATACTATCCCAAAGTTGATATTCATTTATGATCTACCCCTAAATGACAGCTTTGGGATAATATGGAGATTGTTCAAAAAAGGTGACATCCATAGTATTGTAGAAGCGCCTTGTAATAGGGGAAAAACATTTATATCCTTTTTGATTGGGTGAATATCCTAAGAATATACATTTGATGGCTCTGGGATCAAGTTTGCCTCTGTGATACACATGGACATATGCACAACACCCAAATATTTTAAAAGGAATGCTTGATACAATTCTGCAATGTGGATATGACTCAAGAAGAGTGGCGATAGGTGTTTTGAAATTTAGAACACGAGAGGGCATCCTATTGATAAGATAGGTAGCAGTAAGAACAGCTTCCCTCCAAAATTGTTTGGGAACATGAGTTGTGAACATGAGAGATCTAGCTACCTCGAGAAGATGAGACAATGCTAGGGCATCCTATTGAGTTTTGTTGAGGGGTGTCAACACAAGAACTTAGGTGGACAATCCCATGACTTGACAGATAATCACCGAGAATTGAAGCAAAATATTCCCTAGCATTGTCAGTTTTTAGAACTTGGATTTTCGTTTGAAATTGAGTTTGAATCATGACATTGAAATTTTTAAATATCTGACCAGCTTCAGATTTTTCTTTCATAAGGAATAGCCAAGTGATTCGAGTATGATCATCGACAAATGAAATAAACCATCGTGTCCCTGTTATAGTTTTTATTCTAGATGGTCCCCAAATATCTGAGTGAATTAGTGAGAAAGGATGTGACTTTTTTATATAGAAGATGTGGATATGAATTTCTAACATGCTTAGAGAATTGACATACTTCACAATGAAAGAACTATGAACTTTTATTTTTGAATAATGAAGGGAAAAGTTTTTTCAAGTACAAGAAATTTGAATGTCCTAGGCGATAGTGATTTAACATAATCTCACCATCATTATTGGATTTAAGGCTCAACAAAGCTTTATCCTTACAAAGAATTTCTGACACAGCTTGGAGGACTTGCTTCTCTGGAGATTCTTCACTCTTGAGGAGATAGAGTCGCGAGCATTCTCTAGCACTGCCAATCATCTTTCCCGAATCCAAGTCTTGAAATTCACACAAATTGTGATCAAATTTAGCCACACAATTTTCATCACGGGTGAGTTTAGCAACTGATAAGAGATTGCAATCAAGAGTTGGAACAAGAAAGGACATATTTAAGGGTAAGAAAATCAGATATTTTTGCTTAACCAATCCCCTTTACTTTAGACATAGAACCATCATCAATTCTAACCGAGTGTCCTTCTTGGCAGGTTATGAGATTCATGAGAAGAGAGGCATCACCCGTCATGTGGTTTGAAGCACTTGAATCAACAATCCATGGTTTTGTAACCTACTTTACAGTAAGCGCTTTGATGGGGTTACCTGATTGAGTCAGAGTTGCGGTTGATGTTGAAGTGGACAAGGATTGTTTGAACATCTTCAGGAGGAGTTCAATATGCTCTTTGCTAAACAGAGCAGGTTCGGCTAAAGTAGGTCCATTTGCTATAGACGCAGCATTTCCAAGGCTTTCTTTGTTGGTGTGCCGTGCTGTGGATGGCTTCCAATCAGTTGGCTTGCCATGAATTTTCCAACAAGTTTCCCTTGTGTGACCAGTTTTATGACAATGATCACACCAAGGTCTTCCTCTTCGGTTCCGATTGTCATCAGTGTTGTGTCCTCGAACAGCAAGGGCTGAACCTTCTCTTGTTGCTGGAAGGCTTGATTGAGGACCCATCATTATCTTTTTCCAACTCTCCTCTCTTCGGATTTTGAAGAAAGCTTCACGGATACTTGGTAGAGGCTTTGTTCCGAGAATTCTTCCCCGCACTTTATTGAGATCTTTGTTGAGGCTCATAAAAAATGTGAAGACTCGTTTCTTCTTGACAATTTGTTTGTACACCATTCATAAACCTCGAAGAGCTCTAGTTGCTGCCAATACCGTGTAAGAGAATTAAAGTATTTGGTAACGGAAGACTCACCTTGGCGAAGATCATGAAGAATACTTTCAGCCTCATAATTCAGATGTATACACAGAACTGGAATATGTTTCTCTGGCAGCATCCCATATTCCTTTGGTAGTGTCATAGAGGAGAAAATTTTCTCCAATCTCGTTCACCATGGAATTTATCAGCCATGACATCACCATATTGTTCTCGAACTTCCAAGTTCGGTATTTTGCGTCATCCTTGCTTGGTGTTGCTGCAACTCCGGTGAGATAGTCGTCTTTCATCTTCCCGCATACGAACATCATGACGGATTGGGACCACTGAAGGTAATTGTGCCCATTTAATTTATGGTTGGTGATGGGCAGATTATTGGTCTCGGTTCCTCCATTGGAGCCTGTCATTGCAGGTTTAGAATTGGAGATAACTTCGGACGAGGAGCTTGGTTTTTCTGTGTTCATGCCGTACTTTGTCACGTGGGGATTTAGATATCAGTAATGCTTTGATACCATGAAGATTTTTAGAGGTATAAAGTGAAGAAGAAATCGGACTTAAGAGGAAGAGCAAAAAACTGCTCTGAATATTTTCTTATTTCTTACTTTTCGCTGTACAGCAGCACCCTATATATAGGGTTAGGACTTAGACAACATTCCTCCTATAATCTAGACAAGGAAATAACTACTACAAAAGGAAAAACTAGAAAATCAGACAACTAAGAAATAGCCTAGGAAATCAATCACCTAATTTCCCAAATCCATATTTATGGTGTGTACAGGTTGGCAAATCAATTAGCCAACTATTCCCTAATGACCGAGAGCTAAACATACACTAAGAAATTCTACAGTGTATACCCAATATAAATTCTTAGTGCAAAAGGGCATACATAATATGATTCCATTCATTTCTTGACGCATTTTCCAAAAATTTGCATGACAATCGTCATGCCCCATTTTCTGTTTTTCTGTTTTCGTTGATTTCAAAAAATGTAGACAGATTTTATGATTAATTTTTCCACCTTTTTACTTTATGTACCTTTCAATACGGATATATAGCTGTGTTTGCCCCTTCGCTTTATTACTTCCCAAACTTTTTAGTCTCCTTAACTTTGCTCTTATGGATCCCCCGGTTAATTTGACCTGTTCTTGTTCCATGTTTATTGGGAAACATTCTCTACCTAATCAGCTCTCTTTTGATTATAATTTTTATTTTATGCTGTTTATCTTGAAATCCTCCTATCTATTTCGTGATGGACACTCCAAATCACTTCAATTGGGGGAGCATCTTTGCCATTAGGATCAGTTCTGGTGGTGATGATGTCTGCCTTAATTTCTAGATGTAGGTTTCATCCTTTTCATAGAGAATATAGGGGCAAATATATATATATAGGGGCATATATATATATATATATATATATAGAAGAAAAATCTAGGAGCACCTTAACTGTTGATAAGGCTGGGCAGCTTAATTAAACAAGTAGTACAGATTAATTAAGGCAGTGATTTTTATCATAACCAGTCAAGATTACTTTATGCCTCCTATAGGAAAACATGCGGTTCGGCCCATGTGATTGATAGGAAATCTGTAAAAATTGTATTCTTAGAATTAGGGGGTTGCTTTTAAGGAATCCCTCAAATCACTCAGTCATAGGATTTGATTTCGGCCTAATTAGTTTCTTTTTTTTTCTTTTTTCTTTTTTCCTGATAGAAATTGTATATAATCCTCGGCTTGTATCATTCGAGATATGAGAAATACACAAATCTCTATTTGCCACACCTCCCACAATGCATATAGTAATTTTGGAAGCATGACCTTGTGCTGCAAAAGGCAAAATATGGTGTTTCCTTTTTATTTTTTTATTTTTACATATATGTATTTATATAAAATTGGCCATACACCGTAAAAGAGCGTTTTTCTGTTGCTATAAGCTAAACAGTTTCACAGTGGCTTTTTGAGAAAAGTAAAATGGGGTTTCGAGGCCTCGTTCACTTCGCGGATTCGAGTTTTTAATTCGAGCTGAGATGTGACATTTTCTGAGAGCTTTTCACTGTAGCAGAAAAAAATTAGATCTGACATTTTCTGAGAGTTTTTTACTGTAGAAACTTAAAACTGAAAACTCGAATCGGTGAAATGAACGAGGCCGAAAAGTCTATTTTCATGTGAAGTTTGGTAAATGACCTTTGCATGTCTCTTAAGTGGGTGGATTCATTAAATTGGTGCCTAATATCTTTGTTGTCGATGAAGAAAGGCATGCATTATAAACATAATTAAATTTCTATAACTCATTCTTGACTCTAATGTTCTCTAATTTTAGTATCTATCTATAGGTGGCTCAAGAGATTGAAACAGAAACAAAAGCTCAGAATGATCTGATCTCAGATCTGGTAAGAATTATGCTCTTTTGGTAGGTTTCTTTTCTCTGGCAGGGGAGCTTTACTGATTGTCATAATATGAAATGGCAATTGAACTCTTCATTCTTGCAACAATTCTACGTTGTGATAGAACTAGTAACCAAAACAGGAAAATTTGTTGAAGAAAGCTCTTTGTAACTTATTCAATATCTGCCCCTCTAGTGAAGAAAGAGCAACCCAGATTGTAACAACTTGCTTCTTCTGGTGCTTATAACAGCAAATAACCTTGAGTCAAGCTGGAGCAGGGGTGAAGAATGGCATGAAGAGGTTGAACAGGACTATCCAGCAGAGCTCAAATCATATTGTCCACGTGATTGTTTTCGGACTAGTTTTCTTCACATTTGTCTACTTGTGGTCCAAGCTTTCTAGAAAATGAGATTAACCACGGTTTCAGCGATATAACATGTGACGGATTGTTTTTGTATTGATATTTTTCCCTTTACCTACTTTGTGGTCCAGGCCTCTTTGATGGAGACCAGCTAATGTGTAGAGTAGACATATCTGTAAACAGACTAGAATATTTAGGTACGCAACTGCATAGTTGCATACTAGAATACTTGGCATAGATTGTAAGTTTCTTATTTTGGAGAATGTTATTCTTTTATTGTTTTGTCGCCCTACAAATACAATGCCAGCTTGTTTATCACATCACAAGAGAACATGCGTGCCTTGTGGTTTTAGACATGATGTTTCAGCAGAAAAAGGAGATGAAAAACTTGAATGTTGCATCACGGAGTTAATACTCATTGTGCTTGTTTGGAAGCATTTTTAAAAACGTTTTCATGTTTCTCAATGACCAAAAACTGAAAATGCTCCGAGATACGCGTTTGACACTGCATTTTCTGAAAAACAAAATTGAAAACGTTTTCTAGTTGTTTCCAAAAAAATCAGCAGAAAGGAAAATGATCTATAATCGTTTTCTTTTTTCATTTTTATTTTCTCTCATCTCAGTCTTTTTGAAACAACTCTCCGCACTTTTCAAAAACAACTCTCTCTCTCTCTCTCTCTCTCTCTCTCTCTCTTTCCTCCTTGTACTTTCTCATATCTCGCTCTCTCTCTCCCTCTTCATGCATGTGAAGTGTGAACGTTAGTCTCCCCTGAAGGAGATTATGAGCTGCCTCTCTCTCTCTCTCTCTCTCTCTCGTTCCTCCTTGTACTTTCTCAGATCTCACTTGCTCTATCTCCCTCTTCATGCCTGTGAAGTGTGAACATTAGTCTCCCCCTGAAGGAGATCATGAGCTGCAACCACGAAGGAGATCATGAGCCGCTGCTTCCGGGGATCGCAAGTTGGGGATCGTCTTCTGCAAATGGCGTGGTCCCACCCATCACTAGACTTCGCAAAAGTTTGCAGCGATCACCAGAGTTCTCTATGGCTGGGCACGGAGGAGATCACCAGAGTTCTCTATGGTTGGGCACGGAGGAGATTAAGATCAGTTTCAGGACAATAGATGAGTGAGAGAGAAACAGAGAGAGGAGAGAGAAAGAGAGGGAGAATCAGAGAGAAGTATTTTATTGCTAATGTAATGCTAATTACTATGTTCTTATATATAAATTAACTAATAATATGTGTGTATGGTAATTGGTATCCTAATTATTTTAAAAAATGTAAAACCAAACGCAGTTTCAGTTTTTTCTTGTACTGAAAATAATTTCTGAATAAAATTAATAAACACATTTTCAGAAATGATTCATGTCTGAAATTGAAAACGTTTTCATTTCTATTTTCATACACAAAACAAAATCATTTTGAAACGGGTTCCAAACGCACCCCTTGTGTTTTTCCCTGTTTGTCCAAACCTTGGCCTGATAAGGTTATGGATGTTTTATATGAATTTCTGATGGTACAAAAAAATTTGGAACAGGTCTGAACTTTTGTGCGTATGGAGAATTAGGACTAATCAAACCGGCAATAATCTTAATCTAGTCAGATGACTATTATATATAGGTAAAATTCCCACTTCGCAAGTTTATTTTAACGAAAGTTATAGTGCTAAAGACAACCAATTCAATTGGTAATGATTTTAAGTATCATTTAGTATGCAGTGATATTGGGACGAAAAAAAAGGGGGACAAAAGTAAATCTTGGACATCACTTTCTCAAATTTTGTGGTCATTTGAAATCCACTAAATGCCCTTTGAGACCTTCTCTTAAGGCAAAATCTTAACGTCAATTTTATGTTTAGCACCAAAAAAATGAATGGTATATTTAATATGCTAGTTTTATTTGCGTTCCAATTCGTTACGTACTTAGCACCAAAAAAATGAATGGTGTATTTAATATGCTAGTTTTATTTGCGTTCCAATTCATTATATACAATTCCAAACTAACTTTATTTTATGTTTTTTTTTTTTTTGAAATATATATTCTGTCATATATATTAAGTTTTAAAACTTGTACGAGTAAACTTTTAATTTTAAAATAATTTAAAATTATCAGAGTTTTAACGATTAAATGAAAAGGTAAATATATCAACCAATAATAATTAAATATCAAATTTAGCACCAAGAATAACATTGCATTGCAGTGTGATTTTCTACTCAAATAATAAAGTTTGAAATTGCATATTAATATAGCTTTACAATGGATATGCTCTTAATCTAGTTAGATGACGGTAAGCAAAAATAACAGTTCCAAGGTGTTTGAAAACAATCCATTCTCTCCAGAGTCGCGATTATTCCAAGTACTTAGAACTGTCTACCCGGAAAAAAAAAAATGTCATGAGAATACAAGATGACTCAAATCTTGAGGTAAAACATAGGCTTGGTTTAAACTTCATTTTGTTTTTGTTTTTTGTTTTTTTGTTTGTTGTTTTTTGTTTTGTTTTTGTTTTTGTTTTTTTGTTTTTTTTTTTGCTACCTTTTCCCGACCATCTCTGGTTTGGTTCTTTGTTGGTATCAAAGGGTTAGTCTAACTTGCATGCCACGAAGCGTCAAAATTTTCCAAGGGAACACTCTTCTGATTGGTAAGAAAGTGAATTTCAAGTTACCTCAACAAAATGACACTTTCAATGAGTAGTGACCTCTTCCTTCTCCACTTTAGGCCTTTTGTCTAATTCTTCTTTTTCTTCACTCGGAAGATAATAATTATTTTCCGTCCCAATTTAATGACTTGAATATGTCCTATCGAATGTTGGTCCCTTACCTCACCAGAGAAGATTGAAATTTTGTCTCTATTTTGACGGTTTCTCATCAATCCCTCTACTTAATACTCATATTTTCTCAATTAGAATAGCACTAAGCTCTGACTTGTATTCCACAGTTAACGCGCGAAAGTTCTAATCTGTTAATAATTTTGTCATTTTCTTCTGTCTTTTAATAATTACTTCACAAACTTAAAAACAGCATCTAAGAATCCTCTTGGTCTCGTCAATATAATTATTTTTATTGAATTGATGAAGTTTCCTGAGCCCTTCTAATCATATTGGTTGACGGTTGGATTTCGTCAACAATAAACCTGATGGATTATCTTGGGGTTACCCTTTGGATTACTGGCTTGTGGGTTTAATGAAAGTGTGGATTCTAATTTGATTTAAGTATTTTTGTGTTTGAATGAACTGTATGTAAATGAACAAGAAGAATTTTATAGTGGTTCACTCTATAAAATTAGAGCTACATCCACTGTATATATTATATTTCTTTTGTGGAGATCATAGTTTATAATGAATGCTATCTCTCTCCCTCTCGTCTTTTTCTTTTGGAATTTTCTGGACCTCTTCCCTATTGGGGTCCTTCTTCTTTTATACTCGGGCTTCCTTCACTGGGTGGGTTTCCTTCGTAGGTAGGAACACTCAAGTGCTCTCCCTCTCTAGGCCCAAACATAGCCCACTAATTAGTACTGTTCACTCAACCAATTAGTCTTCTATTACGGCTCTGTGACTCTCCGTAATGCTTTTCTGTCCCCTGGGGGGGGCGGTTTGTAAACTTGCAATTAATGCTGTCAGACTTCTCTTATCTTTGCATGTAACCTATCATGTCGAAAATGGACGTTCCCCTCGTCGTCAGTGGTTGTTTAACATTTCTCGCCCCTTCTAGTGATCTCTTCTGCAGTTGAGGGATCTTGTCGTGTCGACCCAGGCGGAATCAACCGTCGACGCCTCATGGGGTCGTCGCCCTAATCATGGACTTCATCTTCGGGCTCTATAGCTGATCTTGAGGGAAACGAAGCGTCGAGGGTTGAGTGCTCGGCGGAAAGCAAGTATAGCCACGTGTCGTGGCGCCGTTGGTCCAGGTGTCCATCACATTTTCCCACACAACAATATTTATCAGTACTAAATTATCTGAAGCAGATTGCGAAATGTTTTAGTTAGTAGTGAAAGTTCGAAATTGTCAAAATAGGACAACGAAATTTGTCGCTATTAGCTAATTCTGAAAAGGATAATTACAATAGAAAATTGTTGCAAGACCGGTTATCGTCACGTGGTCACAGTTCAAATGTGCATTTTTTTTTTTTCTCTCTAGTAAATTCATATACATTTAATTTAGGATTAATTTTAAAATTTGGCTTCGAAAAGAATGGTATTAAACTCCCCAAGAGATTATCATAAGTTATGATTTTAATAGTTCAAATTAATGGTTTTAATCACTTGACTAGCTGGTAAAAGGCTATAAAGAGGGCAACAACAAAGTGGGAATTGCCAGTAAAGGTGGATCGAGCAACACCTAGGGTTAAAGCACGGAATTATATGCATTTTTTATTTTAAAAAATATTAATGATTATTTTGGTTAAATTTACTATATTGTCATATATCAAGCACTTCACATGAGTTACAAGTGAATAAAAATGTTAAAAAATAGAATCCTCAATGATAAAAGTAACAAAGTTGTGACTTATTATAAATTCGGATGAGAGTTTAGTGTCGTTTTGAGTTTAAAGTAAGAAAATGAGATAATTTATATTTTCTTAGAAGAAAGAAAAAAAAATTTAATAAATCAAGACTGATTGAAAGTAATAACAAATCATGTTTAATCTCTTTATGGTTTCTTTCTACTTTCTTATTTAATTATTATTAGAAAGGTGGAAGAAGTTTTCCAATCCATAACTAGCTAGTACATCAACTACTTGCACTCTTTCCAATAGCGCTATCGCTGTTTAATTAACGAATCATGTTTAATCTCTTTATAGGTCACCTAAAGGCTTACTTTTGCTTACCTCTTAATGAATGAGACTTTATATGTTTTCTCCATTAACTTTAAGAAAAAAGAAATCAAAGGGAATAAAAATTCTTTTTCTTCCTTTTCAAACCAAAAAGAAAATTTTCTTTTTGCCTTTTTTATATGTGGTTTTTCTTAAACTTCATCAACCGTGAATCCGTCACCAACACGCATTGATTATAGATTAGTGTTTATACATGTGATTTTCCTAGTGTAATATATAATATACTTATATATTAAAATAAGTTGAGTTCTATGTGTAATTTTAGGAGCCATTGCAGAAAGTAATTTGACTGATTAAATTTAGTCCACTCCGATAGAAAGTAACTTAACTCTTATATTTTAAAAATAAATTTAAGTTCTCTTCCGAGAGTTTTTTTTTTTTTTTAAATAATCTTTTGATTCCTTTGGGGATACAAAGACCTTATTGGCATGGATCTGATTCATGTGCCAGCTATGAGATACTAACATTTTAAAATTACAATTTGGCTTAGAATAATAAGAAATTTAAATAAAGCAGATCTAATCATTGATTAGGTAGTTTAAATTACAACTAATCTTTGATAAAAGAAATAATTGAGACACTTAATACAAGAAAATGATACATTAATGCTCATGATTCACAATAAATTTTTGGTGCATATATAGCAAAAAAGATTATAGTTTTCACAAGAGAGCTACTTTACCGCTCTTCTTAAGATGCCATATTTTAAAATTCGAAATGAGACAACTCCTTTAATTTTGCAAGCTTGAAAGAAATTTGTTTTAGAGGGGAAAAAAAAAAAAAAAAAAAAAAAAAAAAAAAAGCCAACAAGATAATGACCATAGAAACACTAGTTCAACACTTTTACAAAGAAAAAAAAAAGAGAATTTACCTTAAAAAATGTATAAATCTATACTTTTATCTTTTATTATTGATAAATACATTTTTATTATTATAATTATTTAATTAAAAAATTATAAATAAAAATTAAAAATTAAAAATTATGACTCATATACTTTTAAAAAGTATTTATCAACGTTATCGCAATATGAATGAAAACTTTTTCAACTTTTTGGAGCATAAGAGCATTATGCGGGCCAACCAGAAAATTATGTGAGAAGATGCTCATGCACATGCACACAACATATTACCTCATCCATCTACATGATCGAACTCTTGCCAGCTTTTGCCAGCTCCTTTTCTTCATTCAAGTGACATATTATAAACAAAGAAGACTTGCTAAATTAAGGCATATAAATCAAATTCGTGTCCAATAATAAAACAAAAACAAAATAATGGACATGATGATGTTGGTTCACATAGAATTAATACTACTTCCATGTGTTGGTGCCACGTGTCCTTGACAATTGGCGTCTCAACACGTGTCTTCTAGACAATGCCAGTTTCATGTTGTTTTGAGCTACAACGAAGTGATATATGCAGTTTCCCTAACTTCCATGTCCAAGCACGACAAGAAGACATTGAGATTTTTGAAGGCCAATGAAATATTTTGGAAAATTTTTCAATAATAATTGGTTGGAATGAACATGTTAGTTGTTTCCCATTTGCAACGGTTACATTTATTAAAATATTCGATATTATATCCATTATTCAACATATGTACATATTTCTCCCCCCGCAATTATACCAACAAAATGGCTAATCACCCAGCTAATTGAATATAGGCACAAAAATAAAGAGAGTTGAGAGGAATAGTCTCGTATGTAACAATGGGGGTCCTCATCGGAGCCACATCAATGCGACACGTGTGAGATGCTGACTTTGACTTGGTAAGTTTGTCAAATCTGATGTGATGATCAAAATTCACAAATGTCTTTCTGCCACGTGTCCCAAAAGCATATGGGTTACGGTCAGATTAGTACACTCGATTTCCGTGTGACGATTATTAAAAATGTGGGGGTCACTAATTCACATGCACTATTATAATATTGAATTGTTCAAAGAGTTAGCGAGGGCAATACGGTAAAATCACCGACCACGGCTCGGAGTCGTTGAAAAGGTTAACGCGGAGGACAGACTGTGAAAGGAAAGCTATGGCCTTCACGAAGATAATATCGCCGAAAAGCTGTTTCCGACAAGGACATCTCACTAACTCTCAACAACCGACACGTGTCCAATCGAGGCCCTTAATTGTAATTTCACAACGCATGAACCACGTTTGTCCCGTTCCTAATTACAGTAATAACCCTAGCGCGATGCGTGTAAGGACAGTGCATCAAGGATTAGGTGCGCCTCACCTTATCTGATCCTTGAAGAAATTTCAACGAAAGAAAGGGTGAGAAAAGGCTGACCAATAACCAGTTATTCACATTTCACACCGCCCAATTGCCAATCTGGTGTTGTTGGTTAGCCACTCAGCCAATTTAATCATTACGTAATATTATATTATTTCCAACATGTGTGTTGGGTACATGTATAGGTGTAATTATATTGTAATATACGCACACATGAACATTATATGCACACATTCATACGTGAATACATGTCATGTTATATAAAAAACGATTTTGAGGAATCTCAAGATACAAACCACTATTATTGTTATAATCCCCCTCCCACTTTCTTCCTCTCCTTTTTATATTCTCTCCTCTTCCCTTTTTTAGCCCAAACTCCCTCACATTTCACAGACCCAAAAACACAAACACAAACACAAGCCTCTCTCTCTCTCTCTCCCCCCTCAAAAACACTTTTTTCACAAAACAAGACAATGGGGTTTCCTAAGCTTCAAATTTTCATGATCTTAGGCCTCTTGGCAGCCTCATGCACGGCTCAAGCACCAACCCCATCACCAACAGCCTCGCCGCCGACCGCGACACCACCAACCGCCACTCCTCCGACGGCCACTCCACCCACGGCGACTCCACCGGCGGCGTCACCTACACCTGCTCCAACCGCCTCTCCACCAGCTCCTACCCCAGCTCCAACCTCCACTCCTCCCGCCCCAACTCCGGCTCCCACCTCAACTCCTCCGACTCCGGCTCCAGCCTCCGGGGCTCCTACTCCCACGGCTACCGCTCCCACCCCAGAGGGTCCTACCCCACCGGCTCCCACTCCCCTGAGCCCCAGCTCTCCATCTGAGCCGCCGGCGCCTTCCCAGAGCCCAAGTGACAACTTCGCTCCCGGCTTGGCCAGCCGGGGCGTCATCTCCGGACGCTGCCGGGCCGGCATCGCCGGGACCGCTCTCGCCGGAGTTTTCGTCGCCGTGGCTCTTGCTTAGAGTGGGAATTCCACGTGGAGGATCGGAATTCCTCGGCTCTTAGATCTTTTTTATTCTTATTATGGACGGATGAGATCTATTTGGTTTTATTTTTTCTTTAGTGTTTTATTTTTTTTTTTGTATTTTTGTTCTGAAATTACCTTCTTTAATTGTCGGTGTTTGTTCATTCCATTTTTAAATTATTATTATTGGGGTTTGATTTGATGAGTTGGAGGGTGGAGATTGGTGGAATTTGGGTTCGGTGACTTATGATTCATTGTTTTTGTGTACTGTCCACACGTGTATCGATTTATGTAGATTGAGTCTGATGTATATCTAATAATAGTTGAATAAAACAGTTTGTCATTCTTTTTTCTTGTGATTCCCTTCTTGTTTTAATCGATTGATTTTGTCTAGCATTAGGGGAAAATGTGAAAGCTGGGACCAATTAACAATGAACAATGGTCATTTTCTCATCATTTTTTTTATTGATAATAATGAATATGAAGAAGATAATTGTTATAAGTAATCGACTGGGCTAAAAAGTAAAGGCACACATTTTACTTTCGGCAAATGGAAACACAGCACTTGACACGGTTAAGTATACACACACGAGTTTTTAATGGTTACATACATATATTTGTGGGATTTATAACTCTTATTTTACTCAAAAAAATAAAATCATCATAATTAGAGTTTTAATGAACATAGGCACACACTCATAAACCCAACTATTAAGCTATCAAGTGCTCATGATTAAGCAATTTTGTTGTTATAAACATCATTTTTTTAAATGGAAGCGTCAAATTCCTTTACAGTTCTTAAATGATATGTTAATTGGGAGTTGCTAACTATGTTAGTGCATTTAGTTTTGCTAATGCACCAGTTAGTGCATTTTTTTTTTTTTTTTGGCTACCTAGGATTACCTGGCTTCCACCTTAGAACGTCTGTGAGACACACAAATTGCTGAATCAATTGCGTGAGTGCAGTTTGTGAGTCACAAGTTGCTAATGCCTTGGTTGTATTTGGTATGACATGATATACACTAAACAAACACATTGCAAGTTTTTTTTTTTTTTTTTTTTTTTTTGGAGCCAAGTATTTGTCGTATAAAAAGAGGGAAATTTTTACATAAAGATAGATTCTCGAGATGTAAACTAAACCATTGCATTATGATTCTTTTAATTCCACTAAGTCATGATTTAATAGTCATTTGACCCATATTTTCTCCATTACTTAAATTAAATATGCTTGCCTTTCCAGAGTGTTCGTTTGGGACCAAACCTTAATTAGTTTATACACATTTCTAGATTTACAAAGAATACAGTCATTAGGATCAAGAAAAGATAGTTGGCTTTTCAAGAAAAAAAAAAAAAAAAAAAAAAAAAAAAAAAAGATAGCTAGCTTATTTTTCTCCCATGGTAGGCTGCCTTTTGTGAGTTTGTCAAGGAGTGAATTGTGACTATTCATCTAACCTTTATATTTTGATATGTTTGGTTGACATTGACCCCATAATTGAAAAACCACCACTAACTTTCAAGTGCTCCATTAAAGTTGTATTCGAGATTCCTAAGGTCCTGGCATTTGCCCACATCAGTACTCTGGCAATTATAGCGACAACTTTTTAATGGCACTTGTTATAAAACCTTTCCAGTTAGGTATGGAGTCCAATATCTATGCCTATCAAGATAGGAATAATTTGTTGGAATGTAAGCTATCATTTGAAAATAATGAACCGGGACCTCTATTTTTTTTTTTATTTTTTTAAGATTTGCTGTTTTATGGGCCCAATTAATTGGTCATCTAATACTAGTCCAAGAAACGCTCTAAAATAGCGGAAGATGCCACTGTCACGTTTTCCTTCTTATGACTCATTCAAACAGTTGTTAGATCACATAGTTGATCAGCTCGATTGACCATGTTTGGTTCATACCATTTGTTTGCTTGAAGAGTGAAACCAGTTATATTAAAGTGATAGGGGAGCTGTGAAAAGCCGAGAGTCCTGAAATGGATATTCGAGTTTCAAGAATAATGGGAGATTCGTTAGAAAATCCATTAGTTGAATTGAAGATAATTACTAGTTAGGAATTATTTAACAATTGGATTTTTTTTTTTTTTTTTTGCAATTATCTCACAAAATTGTATAAATAGGTGGACATGCCCACGAGTAGGGCGGTAAGAAATCACCCCGAACCCGACGAACCCGGCCGAGCAGAGCCGGCCCTACTCGAAAATCACGGGTTTCCAATTTTTTATTTAATTTTCAGTTTTAATTATGCCTAACCCGCACTGTGCGGGTAGGGGCGCGGGGTGGGGTTACATGAACCCGAGGTAACCCTACCCGGCCGAACATGTTCAAAGTAGGTAAAATAATGTCGAACACTTCAAATTCTTACTTTCATAAGTTTATGGACTTTATACTTTTAAACTGTTAACTTATTTATGTTTTGGATTCACGGTTTGTGTAAGAAATGCTTGTATGTCATAGTTGTTGAATTAGGACATTCTTTATTTATATTGGAAGTGTTTGATTTCAAAGTGAGTGTTTTAATTGTTCACATTGCATTTAGACCCCCTCTTGAAGGAAATACATGTTCTGTTTGATAATGATTTCTTCTGTAACAAGCACAGATTAATTGACTAAAAATTGATTAAAATTGATGAAGTCATAGATTAAAATTGGTTTTCACCAACCCGAGTAACCCGACCCTACCCAAGGTCACCCGAAAGATTGCGGGTTTGTAGACTTAAGAGAGTGTCACGGCCTAAAATTTTCTCAACCCGCACAGGTCGGGTAGGCTCAATTTTTCGGCTCAACCCTACCCTACCCGGCCGATTTACACCCCTACCCACGAGGAAACCTATTCGCGCTATTTTGAAAATTAATGCATTCGTTATAGTTGTTTTATATAAATCCTGCCGGTTATGAAAATTGATCTTTCGATAAAAACGCGAAAACACAGCTGAATAAGTTTTAAAATTTTTCTAAAACCTACATAATCTAATAATTGTCCGTCTCTATTGGGCAAACAATCTCTAGATTATTAAGCATCACAAAACCTTAGACCTTTCTCGCTATTCTACTCTCCTTGAATTTAACTAGTACGTGTTTACCAGATGAATTTCTCACATGTCACAACAATTCTCCTTCCAATTAATCTTAGATAAACTCAAACACTTCTACAGTGGAAAATTCGCTCACTCCCTAGGGAATGGGCGTGTGACTAAGGTTGGCAATTCAGATAACGACACGACGACACAACTCGAAACCTACATAAAGTTAGAAGGTTTAGGTTTACTATAAATGGGTTTGGGTCATAATCAGACTGACACGATTAACACGATTAATAAATGGGTTGAGTTAGGATTGACTTCCTAACACGAAGTGATACGATTAACTATATGTCTTCTGCAATCTAATGATATGCGATATAATATGAAAATTTATATGACATATTAAATACAAATAATGTGAATTTTAATATTTGTAGGTAAAATTCATTTATTTTTCTTAAAGGGAAAATATAAATTGACCAATAAACATGTTAAACATGTTTGACATTGTTAAATAAGTCATTATTATATTAGTTATTTATTCAATATATTAATTTAAATGGGTTATGCGGGTTGACACGATTAATAAATGGGTCGTGTTTGGGCTGATATTTTTGACACGTTTAATAAACAGATCGTGTTTGAATTGATAATTTATGACACAATTAATAAACGGGTTGACACGAACACAACCACTAACATGAATTGCCATCCTTATGTGTGACAACTCCTCCTTGAAGGAGGATTTCACATATCACCATTAATTAACTGTGTATTTTTTCTCCAATCATAGTTCAACTTTTGGATAAACCGAATTTGGTTTCAATTCAGAATTTATATTTAACGAACTGTTACGAAAAATATTTTTTATACTTATGACAGCAATTTATTTTACTAAATTAAATAAATAATTATTGCCTATTTATTTTAACAATTAAAAATATATATGTTTTGCAATATACACTCATATGGTCACATCAAATATATGTAAGACTAATATATCAATGTTATATAGAAATACGCGTCCAAGTGTTATCGATTAGGCGCCACCTTAGTACATAGTGATTGTACTAGACAATGTTTAAATAGTCCCAAAAGACAAAAAAATCATTCAGGATATTTCATTAGTTCATACCAGAGAATTTTGAAACTAGCAAGGGGATCATATTGCCATATAAAAACTAAGTTTTAATAATTATTATAAAATTAACAGAACTATTAATTTTGATTCATGCCATTAGAAAATCAAAGGTACAATCTCATATTATATACAAAAGTTATAAATAAGCTTTAATAATATTCTTAAGCTTTGTTCATAGTTATACGCATTTTCCATTTGATTGATTTACCGTCCACTATAATATTATTAATCAAAGCTCCGTTATAAATTCCATTTAATGTCTCTAATTATATATTTATTCATGAGTTTCATTAATTCTTTGCTCGGCAATTTATCTATGATCCTACCATAAATATAAAGGGAGTTTACTGGATATCTGATATCAAATAGAGTTGAGATTTCATTTACCTAAGTATCAGATAATAATCATGACAAAGTTATTTAAATTAGTTGATACTTTATTTATTAAGTAATGTTCTCAACTACTCATAATATTGTGTCTCCAACTTTGTTGAGCTTCTGATCAATTAAAATTAATCACCTCAATTGGCAAATTAAAAGAGGGGAAGGCATTATGGTGATCACTATCATTATGTATGATCATGGTCATTATGAGGAACACAATCAATAGGTGTGAATATGTTTATCACTCAGAATTAAGGTAAATCCAAAAATGGTAAACAGATAAATCCAATTATTGGCTTTCTTATTGTTCTTAAGTTTTCAAGTTGGTGGCATTTTTTAATTTTTAATTTTTAATAGTTTTTGTACATGTAGGGTTTCCTATTTGCAGAAAACCCCATTGACATTTTTAGGCTGACGGGCAACCCTTGCCGAGGTCGCGGAG